TTATATATATATAAGCTTCTCATTCAGCTGGAAAATTATTCCCTAATTAATTCATTCAATACAGACATGACATTAATGATAGTTAATGAACTTTCAGTTAATAACAATGGTGTACCTTTGTCACCTCATTATGACAAGTGTTCACTAATTAGATAAAACATTTACGTCTAATTAACAAAACAATTTCATCAACTTTGAAGTTTTGACTGCATAACTCTTGCACATTTGTTTTTGTATTTTTTTTTAATGCAGGAAAGAATGCATGACACTCAACAGCAAAATAGTTTAGCAAAAATCTACAGCATGAAATATTTACAACAAAATTCATGGTTCTGTTTTAACAAGTGGATTCAGCCAAGGAAGTCCTAATATGTGGTTTTGCAAGGTAAAAAAAAAAACTTAACAAAATAACAAATCAATTTAACAATGATATAAAAAAAACACCTCTTATCAGACAAAAAACTTGCTGTTTAAGTTTTGATAGTTTTATTGATTTTAGGATTTAATAACCTATAGGCCAGATTTATTACATATTTAACAAAAATAGAACAATAAAAATAGTACTGAGATAATCCTATGTTTCTACGAAGTTAAAAATGTCGGGAAAGATATTTCAAATGACACAACAGTATAAATGATAAGGTTTCCGTTCTAAAGTTTAATAATAAATCTTACGACAATCAACTTTCTCAAAATAAATGACTCAGCAATTTTTTTTTATAACAATCTAATCATCTCTTAAAACACTTAATGTTAATTGGCTTTTAAGCCGCAGCATTTAAATAAATAAAACTAAAACTGTAAATGATGACAGACTTCCAGTTTTATGTTTCGTAAAATTAACTGTTAGTTCGGCATGAACAATTACTTTGGTTCACATTGTAGTCACAAAATGTCCTATAAGAGAAAGTATACATTGAACAAAAAACTATCTAAAATGTAAATCACAATTACTGTGTACATGTTTTTGTACTATATTTAAAACTATTAATAATATAAATACCAAAACATCATTTTCATTGACATCTTTAAAGGCAAAAATGTTAATAATGTATCTTTTACCAATTCAACAGTACCAAGAAAAATGCATCATGACTTGTGGTTACTTTTTTTTGTGTTTAACACAAAATGATAATTTATTCGTAAATGGAGAGGAAATACAATGCTTGAGCTGTAAAAGGTTTACCACTAAGTCTTGCAAACTTTTATACTTCAAAATGTGAAAAAGTTATTCTCTCCATAAAAATTTAAGAGGAAGTGATATACTTAAAATGAATCTTCTAGGTAATACATGATTGTACATGTAAAACATCATGTCTCTTACATTAACAATTCAATTAACACAGAAAAATTAGTTTTAATATACAATGTATGTAATATTAGGTTTCAGTGACAAATAAAATTTCCATATTTACTTGTGTATTTTCTATATTTGTTGCTATTAAGTAATTATATGATAATAACATGTAAAATATAACAAAAATCTGTACATAACAGTGTAACCTTAAAGGTAACAATGTATAATTGATAGCAAATATATGTTCTGTAAATAGACCGTCTTATCAATTATTCAATCAGCACTCTGTCTTCAGCAAACATAGATCTATCGGAGGCTATATTTCAGACCAAACATATGTTATCACTAAAGACAAGTGAGCCGCGTCACGACAAAACCAACATAATGGGTTTGCGACCAGTCTGATCAGGATCCATGCTGTTCGCTTATAAACCCTATTACAAGTAGAGAAACTGAAGGCAAACAGCATGGATCCTGATCACACTGCGCCGATGCCCAGGCTGGTCTGGATCATTGCTGGTCACAAACGCACTATGTTGGTTTTGTCATGACGCGGCTCAAGTGTTTTCAGAAAATACAATTAACACAGTCATAATATATCATGTTATATCAGGAAATAAAGCAGTTCAAAATATATTTATGTTTACATACACTACACTTATTATAAATTACTATACATGGCCATCTTATTTTACCTTAATCGTCTTGAATTAATCTATTAATCCCATTGAATATATAATGTTACTTTCATTGGTTGAAATTAAAGAATTAAACCAAAATACAAAAGGTTACAATTATTCTGTTCTCAAATAAGGTCAGTCACAAGTTGACAGGTGTTTAAGCTTATAATAAAACATACAAAAATGTAAGACACTAAACTATTACATCATTTGAATGAAATTGAAATTATTTTCAAAGTTTGAAAAGTTAAGTCATTGAGAACAAATAATTTTATCTTATTTTTACATCTTCTTATTTTGTAATTTCTTACACTAATTGATTCATATTATATATATGGTAGTTTAAGGTTGCCTATTATCTTAGTCTTAATGTTTACACTGTGACCTTTAATGCCTGAAATTTAAATTCTTTCTTATCTCAAAATTTTTGAACTGTTAGATCATCTTAAAAAAAAATTTAAAAAAATTGTCGAATCATTCACCAAGGCTAAATTTAACAAACCTTTGATGACTGAATATAATAAACATGTAGTAATCAGTTACTAAAAAGGTTACATGAATTTTATTCACCTTTTTTACATAACTTATGTACATGAACTTTATACCGGATTTATATTTAACTGCATAACACAATTAAAATTACACACATTGCCTAAAATATGAAAGTTATTGATGAAAGCTGGAGGAAGTTGTGGTAAAATTGCAGTGAAATGACCCCGCAACATCTCCGAACTCTGTCCCCTGAAGTCATTTATACCATTATACAAGTTAAATCACGCCTGAACACCAGTACGTAACCATGACACTCCTAAAACTGACATATATTTCAAAATGACTTTAATGATTTTCAACTTTGGAAGTATCAGTATGATATGGAATGTAAACCAAATGAAAATAAATGATTTTTTTTCTCAATCCTCCACAAAGCATGACAAAAAATGAACAGAACTTCAATTTTTTTTTAAAGCAGTTACCCTTTTTATTGGAAAAAAATGTATAATTTTATGTAATATAAATATGATAATCTTTTTTTTTCTTTTTTGAGCAAGCAAAAGTCCAATACCGCAACCAAAATCAATCAATGCAGTCACCCTACTTTATGCATTGATACAATTCTTACCCGATCAAATGACCTTACTTTATCTATATTTACCTATATTGACAATATTTAAGTTAAATTATGAAGATTTAATGAAAAGACCCAATACAAATACCAGTAGTACTGAAGGAACACAAATATGTTCTAACTATGTGACCTGGTCAATACTTTAATTTATATAACATTTTAATACAGTCGATATAACTTGACAAATATTTCATAGATATTTGACAATAATTTTCAAAGAAGGTAATTTACCATTTCCCTTACAGAAAACTTATGCCAATTAGAAATAGCTAAGCTACTTAAAATGTTACTAAATATCAAAATATAGAATTGCATTTAAAGCAAAATCTTGCATCCATTAAAACTTGTATCAATTTATGACACGCTTTTCTGTCATCCTGTTTTTAAGAATGAATTTTAATAATGTACATAAATATTAAATGCATGTAAGACTTAATTTAGGGAAATTTGACCTTGGTTTAACTGAAATGAAACAATTAAAGGACAATTATCATTTTTGATAAAGATGCTCAAATTCTTATGTTACTTTAATATAAATTTGGGACCCACAGTAAACATGGTCGTTTCGGTGCAAATACCTAACTACACACGGGTAGTGAAGTAACTTTGGGCGATATTATCTCAAAAACTGCAAACTATCTATTTTTATCATATTTAGAAACACTTGTTTTTATTTTGGGAATCCATTTACGAAATGAAGTTATCTAGATTTGTCCCATTTACACACTTAACATCTTGTGATAAAAGAGTTCATATCTCTATTTCAGTGTATTATGAAACAACAATAAATTTGCGCAGTATTTCAAATCAAAACTTGCATAAAATTTGAATTTTAAACAGAATTATTTTGTCATATCCTCAAATTAATTAGATTTAAAAAAAACACAAATTTTAATCAATCTTTCCTGAACCTTCCTCCAGTGAAATATAAAATATAACCTCACTATGAAAGATTTATCATATTTTCTCCATTCAGACATGGTATTTTGTTGTTGTTGTTGTACTTAAAATAAAAGGTCACTAGGTAAGATCGGACAAAAACCCACTTTCTTTTAAAAGTAGTTAATATATTAATAAGTTATTAAGTATTATGTACAGTACCAAAGGCTCTCGTGTAAATCAGAAAAGAAAACTCATCTATACATTGTAGTACAACTTCCTTTTGATACAAAAAACACTGTAGTAACATTTAATATGGTAATTATATTCTAATATGACCAGTCAGTACAGACAATAAAACACGTATGATGGCCGTACACTTTCAGTCACTTGTCAAACTCACCAATTATTTATGACTACTGAATATATTAAAAAAAGCTGAACCTTTCAGTATAAACCTTCTCATTATTATTAACCTGCATATTATGTGTAATTGACTTGTCCAGTTTTAAGTTTGGATTGGAATAGTCTATTTGAAAATATTATGCTACCAACACTATAGAGATTGATCAGTGCCAGCTGGCCTTGCTTTGGTTTAAACATATTTTATTTGTCACAAAAAAAACAAACATATTTGCTTTATTGTAGTCGCAACGGCTTATTTAATCACTTTTACTTCCTGCGGGTTAGGGCTTAACTACAATTATGAGATATTACTTTAAATATATACAGCTCATCTTGTTTGGGATTTCATGACAGTATAAAAACTGAATCAATGTTTCAGTTAAGATGACATATCACGGTTTTGCGGTCAATAGTTATTGTATTCACATTAATCATTTTGCTATGGCCAATCGATATTCAGACAGTTGCTTGTAACACACAGTCGTTTCGGACACATTCCCAAAATAAGTATCAGTAAAAAGACCATAATTTAACTATCATTGACTGCATAATATCAAACTTACAGTTAACATCTGAATGAAAAACATGGGTTTTTTATATATATTCCAAAAAAATATTCCAAAAAAATATTTTATGTCCTACATTAAAATAAAATGGGTAAGTAATTTTTAGTGTTAAAGCAATAAAGGTTAGGTTTTCTGCTAATAACAAGTTACATTAAATAAATTTCACTTTTAAATTTGATACCGTTCTTTCCAATTTATCAAAATGTAACAAATGATAAAATTTAATTGCAGAAATAACTGTTATAAATGTCAACAATTTTTATCTGATTGTGGTTGAAGAAATCATTAAAACATGAGGATAAACAGAACAGTTTATGTCGGCTTTGTTTATAAACAAATAAAAAATGACATTGGCACTTTTTTTCATTACAGCATAACTATTATATACTATGTATATTTTTATCTTAAACAATTATCATACATTTATATAAATCAATATGAAATACATCTATTCATTACACAATAGACTGACCTGCCAATGAGGCTAAATAAAGTTCAAGTTATAAATTCACTAAGATATAGTACTTTATTCAATTTAATATTTCCAACATATTTACTGATAGGCAGATAACCTTAAAGTTCATTGATCATTGCATTTTTAGACACAGAAAATAAATGCAAGATATATTGTACAAAACAATAAACTGCATAATCCAGAAGTACTTTAAATGCATACAAAAATAGCAGTCTTTCTTTAGACATGGAAACAGAATATTATAAAATGAAAAAATTCTTCTCTTTTTTTTAATTCTATAACATAGTAAACATTACATTTACAATACTTTAACCAGTCGTGGCCACATTAAAAAGTTGACTTTATCAAAATTTTGAGTAGAAGAAAATTATATAAGTCAGTACCTTTCATTCAAAAACAAACTTCATTTTTTCATATTTTGATTGCATAATGAATGAAATAAACATAGCAGTTCATCTTTAAATCATAGATCTTTGGACTTTACTAACATGTTCATATGGTTATCTACAGCATGAATTTGACATTGTACCACAAGAAGTGTACAATTTTGCCAAGCCTTTTTTTCTGATAATTTTGCAGTTTTTTTTAATAGGTAATACCTAATGAGAAGGTATGAAGTTTAATATAGACAAAAAATATTATACAGTCCGTCTGATTATGATATCAAACGCAAAAAAAAATATTTATATAAAATACAATTGAAATTTGGAAATATAACAATAATATATATATATCTATATGTATTTATATGTGGATTATTTACATAGAAAAATATCTCTAATCAACTTAAACTCTCAGTTTGTAGCTACTGTCTGTAGGTGAAGTATGTTTACATATAAAGCCTAGTACAAAATGCAAGTTGATTTAATGTTTACAAAACATAAAACTGTTTCACATTTTGGTACTGAATTCCCAGCAGTATCCAAGTTTACAGGCACAGATCTGTATACTCTGGGATATCATGTGAAGAATTCTTATGCATTACAGGAATTGGCACATTCCAGCAGCTCCAAGGCCATTTATCTTGGAAATCTATCCTAGATGTTATTAACACAAACAGATGATAAATCTCTGAACACTCACAAGATAGGGTAAATCCTTGCACACTAGTTCCATAATCCTATCCGTCTTACAGATTATGACAACACAAATTTAATAATTAATATACATAATTACATATCTTTATTATATCTGAGCGAAAATACAGCCTTTTTAAAAGCTATCATTGAGCTATTAGACTGGAGTGTTTTCTTAAACTGTTAAAGATGTGTATATGCACAAATGTGTCATGTTAGACACTGAACACAATTTAATTCACTGGATAATTTGCAAATTGTTTTCTGTTGCGACTATCACATAATAAAGTAAAATTTTAAGGCCTTTGCCTTATTAAAAGGATACATGTTTTTGTTTGCAATATATTTGCGAGACATATGGTTTAACACCAAAATTCAGAAGAAACATGTATACCTTATCCAATCTCTTCACAGGATTCATGAGCATGGAAGGTATGCTGGACCAGGACAATACGGACATTGTCCGTTCATGTAAACCTGAGGGTAGTTGTTGTTGTAGTAATACTGACCAGAAATGTTCAGATTCACTGGTCCATAATACACCTGGTCAATTGTCAATCCATTTAACTGGTCAAATTGCTGCATTTCTAAATATTTGTTGTGAATTTTTTGTTCCTGTTCCATAAGGACTTGACACGCTAATTGCTGAATAAGGTTCAATGTTTGTCTTCTTTCATGGCCCATCAGACAAATTGTGCTCTCATCAACTACCCGGTATAAAGTCAACAAATATTCATGTTTCAGTTCTTCTTCACCACTGAAATGGTTATTCAAATAAGATTCCAGTTTTTGTCTTTGTTGCTTCACATCATTAAAGTCAATGAAGAAGCGGGAGCACATGTATCTTTCCATTTGGCAAACATCCATATTATCAGCTGCTCGAAAGCTCCGTGTTAAGAGATTGCAATATTTAAGAAGCCCACCACCACGAATTTCCTCTGGATTTCTTGTCGCAATAAGCTTGGAATTCAGGTGCGTCCAAGCTTCATTGAAATCACCATACACACTTTCAGCTACTAGGGTTGGGTACAGGTTTTCACTCATCGGGGTTCCGGGATCAGAAATTTCATGAAACGTCAATAGACTATCAAGGATAATTTGAAAGGAATCTACACTGAACTCGTATTGCCTCTTCACTTTATCCACAAACTTCAATTCCACATTTTTTCCCTTGTTGTTTGAGAGTGAGATCAGGGACCATCTGTCACCATGCTCATTGCAGACCTTTACCATTTTCTGGACGTAGGCTTCTTTCAGACTACAGCTACTCATTTTTTCCTTGTTCACTCCATCAGGAAGAAAGTCCAACAAACAGTTCAAGACACAATTCTTAATCTTCTGCAATTCGTTATGATTTGTGAGATCCACTCCAAAGATCAAATCCAAGTCATTGTATGGTTGGACATTTTCATTACCATTTCCTAAAATATAACTAGCAGCACCGCCATTCAAACGAATATCTCGAACACTCACCCCTTCTGTCCGTAATTTTTCTCTCACAACTTGTACCAAATCTTTGAGCTTTACCTCTAAAGTCGGAAAATTTCCGCGTCCGTGAATTGGAATGGCATCTTCCAAGACTTTGTCTAGTTTCTCAACTTGCTCGTAACACAGCACTTGAAAACGTCCACAACGAGGTGAATCCTGCGTTGCCATTGTATAAAAGCCCTCAGAATGTTTAAATCTTAATTTCTGAAAGCTGCCGAAATCAAAATATGTCTGTACTCTTTCACAACTGGTCGCTTACTGACATTACACCACTCGCGAAACTTCTGCTCTTTTTTATCGATTCACTTCAGCCCAGCCTTTATTATTTATCCAATACCAGAGTATTAAATGCAGGGAACCACGATAAAGATTAATCACCGAACTATGTAAAAATTCTGAAATTAGAGAATAATACAGGAAACGTGTTATTCCGTTAGAAAACACCAAAAAATGTTACGAACAGTATTCTTACTGAACAAAAATATGTATACATCAATATTAACTTTTTTGTGGTTATTTTGTTTTCGGACTATTTTCATTACCGTAACGTCAGTCACTGTATACAATCCTGTACAGACGAGAAACGAAATTCACGTATGCTATGAAAGTGAAACTGTTGTATAAACCAGAAAATCAAAAATTCAGTGATTGGTGGAAAACCAAAATCACTGTGGTGTATTCTGCAGTATGTAAACTTTTATAAAATTTAATAGGCCTACGAAATATAAGACTATGAATTTAATCAGTGGAGCCCTGTCCAATAGAAATGATGTATAATTCTACTGGACATCAAATTATTTCATAATGATAAGACTAGATAAAACATGCATTTAAATATTCTAATTAAATATAAATGGCCATGTTTTAAAATCCCATTTCTTGGTCCAAATGTATTTTACTGTGTTACAAAGAGCAACAGCTGTTGTCATGATTTACCGTAATAAAAATCAACTGATCTGACTAAGCAACTATCTAAAATTCCTGAACATATGTCACACGTAAATTTAGTTAATCGATGCAAAAAACCCCATCAATTTATTGACTAGTACATTAGAATGTCAAATATATGAATTTGAAATTACCTTCTTTTTATCAATATCATTTTTTGGATTTCTTCGAGTAAACTAAATAATTATATAGATCTACTCACACGAAATTATCTTCCATAAATAGCAATAAATTCCTTTTTTGTAATTTGTTTAAGCGTACTTTCACTAAGTCGTTTTTCTACCATATGAAGAAATTTGCGCTCTGTTTACTACTATATTATACGGAATCAATGGAATTACGTTCAAGACTTTCTATATTTAGACACAGACCGTACGTGGGCGGTTCGTCAATGATCACAAATAGATGGATCGATAGACTTACTACGGCATGAAGTTGAACTGTCTTTTTCAATAAATTGTTTTTGTCCCAGCATCTCTTGTCAGCCGCGTGCACTGACAGTCCTCATCCTTCTACCAATGACGTCAAAGTAATTGACCAATCACGGTTCACAACAGTGGATCGATGTTAGCTATATACGGCAACAATTACCTTATTGATCAGTTGCTATGGCAATGGAATCTTCTGTGACGTATTCAGTGTATTTACGTATAGAGAAAAGTTATGAATGGACGTAGGCGGCTGCTGCGCTTGTTTACGACCAAAATTTGTAGTATCTTTTCAATTAGTGACATGGATCATAGTAATCAGTTTAAAGCAAATAGAAAATGTCAGAAAAGTGATTAACTGTCAATGTTTCCGAGGAGAAGCGAAGTGAGTTTACACTGAAACGAAAACGACTAAAAAAATCGCTTCCACTTGTTTCATGACTGCCATAAAACATATTTCCAGAAGTATTGATATTGAATATGCACAAGTAACAAAAGTAATGGACTTTTCAGGGATTGGGGCGGGGGTCTTGGGGCACCCCCTCTATCTTGTTAAACATATGTCTAAGTCACGAAATTCCCTGCATTTGAGATAAAAAAATAAGGAATTCAAGTAAGCTCGATTGCGAACATATTTTTTTTTTAAATTTGATCACATTTGATATTTTCTGTGTTCACTGGAAGACACGTTTTCATTCGTTAAAAACAACAACAATAAAACAACAACAACAAACAATAACAACAACAGATATATCGATTTAATCAATTCTGAAACCAGGCAATATCATTTCCGGAAGCGGAAACTCCTGTATATAGGTCTATAAATAGCTTTGTTGTCTCAAAATAGCAGGATAATTTAAGTTTCGTATTACGCAAACGATTAATAATGTGGGTTCAAGCTGATAGGACCAATAAAAATCGTTCTTTTTAACTTCATTATGACAGATATCCAGATATATAATATTACAGATTAAGTTTTAAGATTATTAACAGATCGCACACGCAACGACTGACTGCTGTTAATTGTAAAAATTTAAATGTACGAACACTTGAAACTGAAATAAAACTTTAAAACAGGTTTTCTTAATTTTCGAAATATGAAACTTTATGTATAAGTTAAAGTTTATAAGTACGTATAAACAAAAGCACTATGTTGGTTTTGTCGTGACGCGGCTCAAATATAACATGTTCATTCTGACATTTCAACAAGTCTACAAATTTAAACATACTGTTTCTTATATAATATTGTAGTATTAACTTTTTTCTCAGAATATTATATTTAGCGCATTACCAAATGATAATTATTTTCAAGGATATTACAGTGTCTACACAATCTTTATTTATATCCACTCTATGTCTAGACCATCTACAAGTCTATGGCAAGACAAACATAATCTAGTAAGTGCATGTCGGACATGTTTAGTTTTTACAAAATTAAGATATGAATGGAAATTAAAATCTAAGATATTTCTACGAAATAATGCTCTAGATGACATTTCTAATCTTGAATTCCATGTATTTCTAACCATTTCAAAACATCAGTTGGTATTTTCAACGAATGGACCATGTCGAGCAAACATATTGACATATACAATGCATGTTTGCACTATATTTTCTACTTACATTTTGTACATTTTCTTTTGAAAAGAATAAAATTTAGAATCGGACCAAATGTCCGTCGCCTGTGAAGTGGCAATTTTATCACTTATGAAGAACTGTAAAATTAAGTTTGTTTGTTTTGTTTGATTTTACGGCACACCATCAGGTGCGGGATCAGGAAAGATGATTTTGGCTTACCTCGAATGTTATGTACAAACTTAAATTCCGAACCACGTCACCTGCTTGAGGTTAGAGATACATAGCCGCCAGTAATTCGAACCCATTTAATCGCCTCTTACGATCACGCAGGGATAAACAATCGCCTCAATTCTGATGCCTCAATCCTTAGAGGCAATCCTAATTCCCACAAGGGGCTTGAAAGTAGACAGAACTTCTAAATAATTTCAATTGTATTGTATCAATAACAAAAAAAATGTAAAATTATTAATTATTTCATTGTACTAAATATAGACATTAGAGCGAATCAGTTTGATAAAAATCTTTTTATGAGGGGAACTGCAAAAGGGAAAAGAAACCCCCTTTTCCCACCCACCCTTTCGAGATAACTTCATTAAAGAGATTTTTTTTAAAAGGTGTATACGGGTTATAGTTCATGTTTAAAAAAGAAAAAACCCCCGTATCAAAAATTTAAATTTTTAATTATCAACACAGTTAAAATCAGATGATGTTTTAATGATTACATGTTCAAGGGGTTTTTAGTTAAGAGGAGGGTTCCTTCTATTATCAGTTTGACTTTTAAAATCAATTTTTTGTTTAAAGGGGACAATGCCTTTAGTCTAGATTAAAATATATTCCTAAAATACGACAACTTTGTAACATATTATTGATAAATATCTTGAGTCTCTGTAAATAGCGAAAGCACCGAATATAAATAAAACATGAAATATTTGTCATGATTTCGTATTAATCTAGTTGGATACATTTATCACACTGTTATTGCCATTTGGTTTTGACCTTTTTCCTTTCTTATTTTTTTACGCCTGTGAAAGAACGCTGAATCACAATCAGTTATTCATAAAGCTATCTTTTATAAGAGAAAAAAGTCCATAGAATACCATTTCAAGGTGAGTATCCTATGTGTTGTTTCATACGCATCTTCTTTGCGGCTAGACAGCTTCAATATACATGCATAAGCCGAACGACTCGATCCTCCAGTGTCTGTAACATGGTAAAAACGTTTTAATCTACTGTTATTCCCACATTCCGTATTTAGAAATAATTATTTAAATTAAAGCAGCACGCCTCCAGATTCATGCTAATTTTTATAAAAATGTTGTAAATGTATTTGAATGTGTAATATTGTGAAGTAACTAAAATGAAGCAATTTACACATTATCAATGACACTTACAAACCACGTGAATTACCAAAATGTGGTCAAAATATGCATAGATAGCCTTAACTGCGTTAGTAACGCAGTAGAAATATAGTTGTACATGTAAATACTGAAAAATCTGTCATTAATCGCACATAATATTTTTACTATTACTTGAATCTTGAGAAATTTTTTACTTTTCCTTACATCTTAGTACATTTTTTCAGTATATACAATTCAAGTTACAATTTACATTAAATATGCAATGTATTTTGAAATTTTCATGAAAATCAGCAATAATCTGGTGGCATGCTGGTTAGAAACTATATAATGTGTGGACATAATTGTGTAATATTCAAATAAAACTTATTTATAATAACCAATCAAATATAGAATCTAGCATAAAGATATATTTTTTATAAAATAAATACGAGCATTTTATTTGCATCGATATATGTATCAATTCTATGTTGATCTAGAAGCAGTTAAGTCTGACACTGTGGTTACGTTTAAATGATATCGTATGAAGAAAGGTGAAGAATTGGACAAAGGAGAAACCACCAATGTTCTGGTATATTTTATAAATTGTTAGTCAAACCCTTCCGCTAGGGTTTTGCCAGTAAAACAAATGTACACAAGAAGCGCCGCAATGCGACGAAAACCAGGTTTTCAACGACCAAGTTTTGAGGTAACAGCATTCAATAGGCCAAAGTGCACTGAAGTTATTGAGTAGAAGCTGAAAATTCTATTGTAAGCAAATGACCTTGACCTTGCTTCCATATATCTAAGGGGCAGTCAAAAGCTGCCACACAGCAAGTTTGGTGAAGCAACATCAAGTTATAACGTGAAACTGAATTTCTTTTTTAAGCAACAGTGACCTTGACCTGGTTCACAGAAACCTGGGTAGCAATCCCAAGTTGCATCTTGATATAAGCCACTTACAGACCAAGTTTGGGGTCAATAGGCCAAAGCAAACTCAAGTTATTGACCGAAAACTGAATTTCTATTTTTAGTAACAGTAACCTTGACCTTTATCACATACACATGGGTAGCAATCCCAAGCTGCCTCTTGATATAAGCTATCCATACACCAAGTTTGATGTCAAAAGGCAAAAGCAAACTCAAGTTATTGAGCTGAAACTGAATTTCTATTTTAGTAATATTGACCTTCAACTTGATCACAGATATCTGGGTAGCGATCCCAAGCTGCCTCTTGTTATAAGCTACCCATACACCAAGTTTGGTGTTAATAGGCCAAAGCAAACTCAAGTTATAGAGCAAAAACTGAATTTCTATTTTTAGTAACAGTGACATTGACCTTGATCACAGACACCTGGGTAGCAATCCCAAGTTGCCTCTTGGTATAAGCTACATACACACTAAATTTTGTGTCAACAGGCCAAAGCAAACTAGAAGTTATTGAGCGGAAACCAAAATTTGACGCCCGCCCGCCTGCCCGCCCGCCTACTTCGGCATTACAATAACCAGTGTTCGTTGAAAACCTGGTTAAAATGTACTTTAATATGTTAAAGATTTTTATACAGAATTGAATAAAGTCACTGCCTACTGTAACGAAACGTACGAGGGTTTTTTGATAATTTATGTAGTGTATATTGTATACACCACAGTGCGATAACATTTTGCACGATTTTGTGGATGTTAATACGCCTGAATAGCTCTCCCCAATGGTATAAAGACGAGCCTTTAGCTAAACACAATTTTAAAATCGCAATTTCAGTGTAACCAGTCGTTGAATACTGTTGTTATAATGGACTGGAAATGGATTGAGAATATTTAAGAAATTAGAATATTATATAATAGCTTGCACAAAACTCGAGCATTCGGTAAGGCAGATATTTTTACTGATTTGGGGAAATTAATGGGTCTGATAGGAGGAAGAAAGTTGACTGGAACAAAGTCCGTCAAGGATGCATCAAAATCTGAACGAC